GTAAGATTGTTCTTTTTGGGTCTAGTAGCCGGAGACAGTTTGTCAGACGACCCCCAAACACTGAATTCAAGCCACAGTACACTGTGAAGACAGTGAAGCATGGTGGTGCAAGCATCATGATATGGGATGTTTCTCATACTACGGTGTTGGGTCTATTTATCGCATACCAGGGATCATGGATCAGTTTTGAATACATTAGAATACTTGAAGAGGTCATGCTGCCTTATGCTGAAGAGGAAATGCCCTAGAAATGGGTGTTCCAACAAGACAACGACCCCAAACACACCAGTAACCGTGCAACATCTTGGTTCCAGACCAACAAATTGACGTTATGGAGTGGCAGCCCAATCCCCGGATCTTAATCCAATAGAAAACTTGTGGGGTGACATCAAAAATGCCGTTTCTGAGGCAAAACCAAGAAATAGAGAAGAACTGTGGAATGTAGTCAATCATCCTGGGCTGGAATACCTGTTCACAGGGGCCAGAAGTTGGGTGACTCCATGCAACACAGATGTACAGCAGTTCTCAGAAACAGTGCGACTACAACCAAATATTCATTAAGTGATTCAAAGGAAAGTAAAATCTTCAAACATTTTTCAGTTTATATAGTGAATGTTTGAGTTTGTAAGGAAGAATACAAACACTGCTATTTTTTTGAATAGTCTAATATTCACTTTTCTTCAATTTTTTAGAGAACAACACAAATTTGATATATTTTCTTCATGTTTTGATTTGGAATAGAATGTGTAGTGTTCCCAATGCATTTGTGTGTATGGAAATAAAAGCTATTAGAAGGATTTTCAGCTTTATTCACTTTTTTCAACACACTGATATTATTTTGAACACAACTGTGTATATATATATATATATATATATATATATATATATATATATATATTTGTGTATTTATTTATTATCTTTTTTTCTATCAGATGTATACAATATATCTAATTTTGGCCTTACAAAGGGCTTTTTGTCTGAAACTGTTTTGTCATATTTCAAAAATATAACTTTCATTTTCTGCAGCCCCTTGTAATCATATAAAAAAAAAAATATATATATATATCCCCCTATAATATATATATATTTTTTTTTTGTAAATGATTAAAAGGGCTGCAGAAAATGAAAGCTATATTTTTGATTCAAATTTGACAAAACAGTTTCAGACAAAAAGCCCTTTGTAAGGCCAAAATTAGATATATTGTATACATCTGATAGAAAAAAAAAGATAATAAATAAATACACACACATATATATATACTATATATATATATATATATATATATACAGAATGCTCAGCATAAATGAGTACACCACCCCAACAGATTTGTCAGAAAACCTTTACTATCCTTTCAGAATCAACATTTTGTTTGGGACACTATAATACAAAATACTCCCACAAATGCAGACTACTGACTGCAAACAAGATTTGTTAATTTGCACCCACAAAAAAATAATTTTTCCTAACAAATTAATTCAAGACCATGTTGCAAAAATGAATATACCCCAATGAAAGTCTTAGGAGCAAAGCTAAATTGTAGAAAAAAAAAATTCTAATTAACAAGAATTCAACTACAGTTGAGTCTAATTATTGATTAAAACAGTGTCCAGCAGACAGTTGATTATATAACTTAACAAAGAAAACCCCTCCCATTTCATGCTATCAGCAATGGCACCACATGGAAGAGAAATGTCACAAGGCCTGAGAAAGAAAATCATTTCTTTACACAAGAAAGGTGAAGGCTACAAGAAGATCAGAAAAGCTTTATTTATCGGTCAGAATAATGTAACAAAAGTGTTACAAAAATTTAACAAAGATGGAACTGCAACCATCTCACAGAGACGTCCAGGCCATCCACGGAAGTTAATACCTCGAAAGGAGTGTCTTCTGATGAGAAGGGTTGAAGAAAATCGCCTTGTAAGTTCACTGCAGTTAGCTAATGACATAGAAAAGCAAAATTGGGGTGATTGTTTCCCATGACACAATACGGCGTATATTGTAGAGGAATGGTATGCATGGGTGTCATCCACAAAGGAAGCCTCTCCTAAAGCCTATGCAGAAAAAAGTCAGCCTAGAATTTGCCAGGGCCCATGCTGAAAAAGAAGAAGACTACTGGGACTCTGTACTCTGGAGTGATGAGTCTAAGATAAATGTTTTTTTGAACTGATGGCTTCAAAACTGTATGGCATCACAAAGGTGAGAAGTACAAAGAAAAATGCATGGTGCCTACAAGTGAAACATGGTGGTGGCGGTGTCCCTCTGTGGGGCTGCATGAGTGCTGCTGGTGTTGGGGAACTGCATTTCATTGATGGTATCATGAATTCACAGATATACTGCTCTATATTGAAAGAGAAGATGCTACCATCACTCCGTGCCCTTGGTCGTCGTGCACTTTTCCAACATGACAATTATCCAAAACACATATCTGAAGGCCACTGTTGCATTCCTGAAGAAGAACAGGGTGAAAGTGATTCAGTGGCTAAGTATGTCTCTTGATCTGAACCCAATCGAACACCTATGGGGAAATCTGAAGAAACACAGGTTGAGCTTCACTCTCCATCCAGCATCCAGGCTCTAAAAGAGGTCGTTCTTGAAGAATGGAAAAAGATCGATATTGCAATATGTTGCCAACTTGTTCATTCCACGCATAAAAGACTTGGTGCTGTCCTTACAAATCATGGAGATCATACAAAATACTAGAAGGAGCAGTTTTTGTTGTGGGGTGTGTTCATTTTTGCATCAACTAATTTGAGTAAAACTGAAGATTTTGTAATCTAAGTTATATTACTAACCTTACTTCCATGTAATGAGCGACACATAGTTCTATAAAACTCAGCTTTGTCAAAATTTTTGAAATTGTTCTCGTGTTCATTGGGATATTGATTAAAATCTTACTTTTCAAAAGGGGTGTACTCATTTAGACTGGAGCACTTGTAAATATATATATAACAATATATATATATAACACACATGCTGAGCACTGTATATATATATTATATATATAACACACAATATCTATATACAGAAGTTTGCATACCCTGGCAGAAATCGTGAAATTTTGGCATTAAAATTAAAAGTATGATTGATCATACCAAAATAAACTGTCTTTTATGGATTGTGATCATAAGAAGCCATTTATTATCAAATAGTTGTTTGGCTCCTTTTTAAATCATAATGATAACAGAAATTCCCCAAATGGCCCGGATCAAAAGTTTCCCTCCCCTGGAATGTTTGGCCTTGGTACAGACACACAGGGTGACACACACGGGTTAAAATGGCAGTTGTAGGTTAATTTCCCACATCTGTGACTTTTTAAATTTTAATTAGTGTATTTGTGTAAATAGTCAATGAGTTTGTTAGCTCTCATGTGGATGCACTGAGCAAGCTAGATACTGAGTCATGGGGAGCAGAAAAGAAATGTCAAAAAACATGTGTAACAAGGTAATGGAACGTTATAAAGATGGAAAAGAATATAAAAAGATATCCGAAGCCTTGATATGCCAACCATGACTGTTCAATCACTTATTAAGAAGTGAAAAGTTCAGAGATCTCTTGATACCAAGCTAAGGTCAGGTAGACCAAGAAAGATTGAAGCCACAACTGCCAGAAGAATTGTTCGGGATACAAAGAAAAACCAACCGGTAACCTCAGGAGAAATACAGGCTGCTCTGGAAAAAACGATGGTGTGGCTGAAGGAGCACAATATGATGATACTTGAACAAAAATGAGCTGCATGGTCGAGTTGCCAGAAAGAAGCCTTTACTGCAGCAATGCCACAAAAAAGCCAAGTTGCAATATTACCAACAACACCTTGATACACCTCACTGGGCTTTCTTGTGGTTTATGGCGCAGTAAAGGCTTCTTTCTGGCAACTTGACCATGCAGCTCATATTTGTTCAAGTGTTGTCGTATTGTTAAAGTGATTTCTCAACAAACTAAAACATTGAGACATAGGTGGATGGGGGAGTTAACTTTGAATATTTAAAAAGAAACACTAGCAGACAAAGTATTAATCTGATAAAGCTTACATAGAAATTCACTGCTTGCTGTTTTTCTTGACTAGATATACAGGCTGTCTTTATTTCCTTGTTTCTTCAGAAATGTTTTATTCCCTTCCATTCACAATATTGTTTGACACGTTACTTAGAATTTGTATGGGTAAGTGTGCAATGTTTGAACTTTTTGGTGACTGTGAGGAATCCTCCCGGTTTATTTTTTTTCAGTTTTTGTAATTGTTCTTAACTTCTCCTTGTTTTTGTAGCTGTGCATCATTTCTGAACTATTGTTACATCTTGAAATTTTCACAAAAATAATGTTAAAGAGTATTTAAAAAAAATAAATAAATAGCGCTTTTAGTTTTATGGTTCTCAGATACAGTATAGTTCCATTTTAATCGGTCATGTTCATAGTTCACCAAAATAATCATTTTGAGACACCTATTTCTTTTTCAGTCTAAAGATTTTCCAGATGCTCTAAAGTGCAAAGTTACAATCCTTTGAAAACAAAATTTGCCCATGTTACAATTTTTTTTTACCTGTATAGAATAACCACTTATCCACTTAACCACTTAACCAGTTTTTTGGAGCATTTTTCCAGCAGAAATAGAACATTAAATGCTCCTAAACACTACTAAAACGCTACTAACATCTTTTTCTGGCTTTTTCTCTTTTTTACCTATTTGTACTGTAAAAACGCTAATAAAATACTAACACTGCTAAACACTTCTAAAGACTTCTAAACGCTACTCAAAAAGCTATTACCAGTTTTTTATATCCAGCATTTTTTACAGCGATTTTTCAGCTTCAGCATCTAGGAGCAGAAAAAAATAGTTTTTGTAGAGTTTTTTGGAACGTTTATCCAGCAGAAAAAAACGGTAAATGCTACTAAATGCTACGAAACTCTACTAAACCACAACTAACAGCTTTTTTCTAGTGTTTTCTTTTTTTTTCCCTTTTACATGTACTCTAAAAACACTAATAAAACGCTAACGATCCTAAACCAGGGGCGGACTGACCATTTGGAAACTCGGGCACTGCCCGAGGGCCCGGCGTCAGTAGGGGGCCCCACGAGATGCCCCTGTACCTTTTTCATAGGCTTTTTTGAGTTTTTGGCAAGGACACAGGGGCCCCATGATCCCCTATTGCTCGGGGACCCCATGAGTTGTCAGTCCGCCCCTGTCCTAAATGATCCTAAAAAAATCCATTGCCAGCATTTTTTATCCAGCAATTTTTCCAGCATTTCTTTAGCTACAAAAAAAAAACACTAGTGTGCATGGATCCTTTTTCTGGCTTTTTAGTTTTTTTTTCTATTTGTTCTGTAAAAACGCTAATAAAATACTGATGCTGCTAAACACTCCTAAACACTACTAAAATGCTACTAAAAACGCTTTTACCAGTGGTTTTTTATCCAGCATTTGTTTCATCATTTTTTCAGCTTCAGCATCTAGGAGCAGAAATAAATTGTTTTTGTCGAGTTTTTTGGAGCGTTTTTCCAGGAGAAAAGTAAAAACACTAATAAAACAATAACGATCCTAAAAAAATCCATTAACAGCATTTTTTATCTAGCAATTTTTCCAGCATTTTTTAGCTTTTGTTTGCATGGATCCTTTTTCTGGCTTTTTTGGGTTTTTGTCTACATGCACTGTAAAAACGCTAACGTTCCTAAACACTTCTAAACGGTACTAAAAACGCTTTTACCAGTGTTTTTTTATCCAGCATTTTGTGAGCTTCAGCATCTAGGAGCAGAAAAAAAAAATTTTTTGTAGAGTTTTTTGGAGCGTTTTTCCAGCAGAAAAAGAATGCTAAATGCTCCTAAATGCTACTAAATGCTACTAACAGTTTTATCTGGCTTTTTCTTTTTTTTTTTTTTTTTTTATTTGTACTGTAAAAACGCTAATAAAATGCTATCGCTCCTAAACACTTCTAAACACTACTAAAACGCTACTAAAATGCTATTACCCGTGTTTTTTATCCAGCATTTTCTCCAGTGTTTTTTGAGCTTCAGCATCTAGGAGCATTTTTCCAGCAGAAACAGAATGATAAATGCTCCTAAATGCTACTAAAATGCTACTAACAGGTTTCTAGCTTTATTTGTACTGCAAAAACGCTAAGAAAATATTAACGCTGCTAAACGTTACTAAAACGCTACTAAAAACGCTATATCCAGCTTTTTTCCAGTGTTTTTTGAGCTAAAAACGCTAGTGTGCATGGAGCTTTAGGGTTTGCATATACTTTAAATGCTTTTACCAGTGGTTTTTTATCCAGCTTTTTTTCCAGCGTTTTTTGAGCCGTTTTTTCCAGCTTTTTCTTTTTTTTTTCTATTTGTGCTGTAAAAACGCTTATAAAATACTAACACTACTAAACACAACTACAACACTACTAAAAACGCTATTACCAGTGTTTTTTATCCAGCATTTTTTCCAGTGTTTTTTTGAGCTTCTGCATCTATGAGCAGAAAAAAAACTGTTTTTTTGGAGTGTTTTTCCACCCCTGTCACCAGGGGCGGACTGACAACTCATGGGGCCCCCAGGCAATAGGGGATCTTTGGGCCCCTGTGTCCTTGCCCAAACTCAAAAAAGCCTATGAAAAAGGTACTAGGGGCATCTCATGGGGCCCCGTACTGACCCCGGGCCGTCGGGCAGTGCCCGAGTTTCCAAATGGTCAGTCTGCCCCTGGTTGTCACTCTCCTGCTCATTTAACCATGAACACTCTAACCGGTGACACAAAGAAGCTACAATGCTGAAATAAGAAATGGCGGTGTCCTGTACCCTGCTCTGCAGCCTGTCTGAGGGTTGTAAATCACAAAAGTTGCTCAGCAGAACTAAAAATCTTTTTTGCAGGTAAAACAATAAGGACCGGTTCACAATATAGAAACGCAGTCCAGATGTGTTACGGATGCGTTTTTGCATGCGCATTTTTAGCGTGTTCGGTACGTTTTTGATGAGTTTTTGGCGCGTTCAAGTGCATTTTTTATGCATTCCATTTCTCAATTTAAATAAAAACGTGCATTCCAGTGCGTTCTGGTGCGTTTTTTTATGCGTTTTACCGCTTTTTTTTTTTAGCTGCATCTAGGAGCAGAAAAAAAATGTTTTTGGAGCGTTTTTTCCAGCAGAAAAAAAACGCTAAATGCTCCTAAACACTGCTAAAACTCTACTAACAGTTTTTTCTAGCTTTTTCTTTTTTTTTCTATTTGTACTATAAAAATGCTAATAAAACACTAACGCTGCTAAATGCTGCTAAACATTACTAAAATGCTACTAAAAGCGCTATTACCAGCATTTTGGTTAGCACTTCCCCCTGGCAGTACTCGGGTTGTTAGTTCAAATCCCGACCACAGCACCTCCTGCCTGGAGTTTGCATGTTCTCCCTGTGCCTGCGTGGGTTTCCTCCGGGTACTCCAGTTTCCTCCCACACTCCAAAGACATGCTGGTAGGTTAATTGGCTCCTGTCTAAATTGTCCCTAGTATGTGTATGTATGAATGTAAGTTAGGGACCTTAGATTGTACACCCCTTGAGGGTTAGGGACTGATGTGAATGTACAATATATATGTAAGGTGCTGCGTAAATTGACGGCGCTATATAAGTACCTGAAATAAATAAATAATAAAAATATTTTTTTATCCAGCATTTTTTTCTAGCACTTTTTTAGCTAAAAACACTAGTGTGCATGGAGCTGTAGGTTTTACATATACTTTAAATTTTTTATGCATTCCAGTTCTTCAATTTAAATATAGACATGTGCGTTTTAGTGCGATTTTGGTGCATTCCAGTGCGTTCCGGTACATTTTTTATGCATTTTACCACGTTCCAGTACAGTTCTGTGCAGCAAAAATGCAGCCTGTTCTACTTTTTTTTTCTGTAAACCGGAACGCACTGGAACTGCAAGCACTGATGTGAACTATGACATTGACAACCATATCACCTACTTTCTGTGCATTTTGGATGCAGAAAAAAAGCAACTGAAACGCATGCAGTGTGAACTGGCCCTAAGTCCGTATTTCATTTGTCAAATTAGCTGCTTGCCTAGTGTTCCACTTTAATTTAAACCCACTGCAGAAAACGGGAGAATGTCTCTTTTATCTAATTGGTTCCTGAATTTTGTATTTTCTTCGTCACAATTTACATAAGCAAAATATGGATTTTGAATTGAATAACCGCAGCCTACCCGGTGTTAATTAGATTTAGTGTCATTTTTTTTTCCTAATGCAATCAGACTATGCTAATTGAGAATGCGTAAATGATCCGACTGCGATAAAGTAAAAATTATTATCATATACATTGGCATTTAAAATTGTTTGTGGTTTTGGATTTTTTTTTTCTTTCTTTATATTTTTTTTTTTTGTAAAAACGGCTTTGCAGTTGACTGATTTTATAGGAACAATCAGAATGCACATGTGACTGGTAAAGTGCCTGTTATTTGTGTGCTTCTACCGACACATGTGCTACTGAGCTGTAAAAATGGAGAGAAAAGTCGTAAAGGGAAAAATGTAATATTTTCAAAGTGTGTTGCAGCTTTGCGTGTGTGCATGTGTGTGTATAAATATTTTCCACATTTTGTCATGTTACAACCAAAAATGTCAATCTATTTTATTGGGATTTTCTGTGATAGATCAACACAAAGTGGCACATAATTGTGAAGTGGAAGGAAAGTGATAAATGGTTTTCAACATTTTTTACAAATAAATCTGTGTTGTGCATTTGTATTCAGCCCCCCGGAGTCAATACTTTGTAGGACCACCTTTCGCTGCAATTCCAGCTGCAAGTCTTTTTGGGGATGTCTCTACCAGCTTTGCACATCTAGAGGGACATTTCTGCCCATTCTTCTTGCAAAATAGCTCAACCTCTGTCAGATTGGATGGAGAGCGTCTGTGAACAGCAATTTTCAAGTCTGGTCACAGATTCTCAATTGGATTTAGGTCTGGACTGTGACTGGGCCATTCTAGCACAGGAATATGCTTCGATCTAAACCATTCCATTGTAGCTCTGGCTGGATGTTTAGGGTGGTTGTTTTGTCCTGCTGGAAGGTGAACCTCCACCCCAGTCTCAAGTCTTTTGCAGACTCTAACAGGTTTTCTTCTAAGATTGCCCTGTATTTGGCTCCATCCATCTTCCCATCAACTCTGAGCAGCTTCCATGTCCCTGCTAAAGAAAAGCATCCCCACACCATGATGCTGCCACCACCATGTTTCACAGTAGGGATGGTGTGTTCAGGGTGATGTACAATGTTAGTTTTCTGCCACACATAGCGTTTTGCTTTTAGATCAAAAAGTTCAATTTTGGTCTCCTCTGACCAGAGCACCTTCTTCCACATGTTTGCTGTGTCCCCCACATGGCTTCTAGCAAACTGCAAATGGGACTTCTTATGGCTTTCTTTCAACAATCTTCTTCCCACTCTTTCCATAAAGGCCAGATTTGTGGAGTGCAGGACTAATAGTTGTCCTGCGGACAGATTCTCCCAACCTGAGCTGTGGATCTCTGCAGCTCCTCCAGAGTTACCATGGGCCTCTTGGCTGCTTCTCTCTATAAGGCTCTCCTTGCCCTTGGGCTGTATTTATTCTGAGATTAAATTACACACAGGTGGACTCTATTTACTAGTTAGGTGACTTCTGAAAGCAATTGGTTCCACTAGATTTTAGTTAGAGGTATCAGAATAATTAAATATCCTCTTCTCCACAGTAAGTGAACGTTTGGCATAGGGTCTAAGAAGTTGCTCAGAGATGGAGAAGGCCTCATCACCAATGAAGACATGTGGTAGGGATGGTTGACTTGTGCCCGGAAGTGGATAGTCATTTAGAAGGTCTAGAGTATTGTTATGAAGCATTTTGCCAAATGTTGCATGGGCAAAAATACTTGAGTCAGAGCTGCTGCAGTATGAACCCATGTCAATATATGTAAAATAATAATTTGCATCAGCCACTGCCAGCAGGATCTCAGAGTGGAAAACACGGACAGTGATGATAGACTGCTTAATATTGTGTCCGGTATTTCTGAACAAATGGAGGCACAGCATTGTCCACACACATTATTTGCTCTCAGTTTGGTGCCCCTTTTGAAGGAGGTTTTACCAGAGAGGTACTTTGAGATGCATATTGCAGTTCAACAGTGTATCCACTTTTTCAGTTTCCCCCACCAGCTCAGTATCCAAACAGAGGAAGCACCACCAGTAATTCCCCTTTCTGCCCCCAAAACAACC